GGTTACTTCGTCTTGGTTCAGGTAAAGGTTCACTTTATATAGGGAGTTCAGAATCAGGTTGGGTTGGTTTAGAAGTTTCAGGTTTAGGGTCTCGAACTATATCTTTGTTTTGGGCCTCCTCATAAAAGTCGGCTTGTTTTCTACTCACCCTTGCTTTAAGGAACTCTTCCTCGAAGAAGTGAGCATCACGGCTTTCAATAACCGCACATGTTTCAAGGTTATAGAATCGATACCCATTACCATGATCTGGGTAACCAATGAAAATGGATTTGACAATTTTGGGTTGCAATTTGGTTCTATTTTGATGTGGGATAAGGACATGGGTTGAGCAACCCCAAACTTTCAGGTATTCAAGAGAGGGAGTACGACCTGTGAAAATTTCATGAGGAGTAAATGGAGCAGCTTTTGTGGGAGTCCGATTAAGGATGTAGCATGCCGTCAATACGGCTTCTCCCCAAAAGTCTAAGGAGAGAATTACATGCCCCATCATACACCTTACCATTTCAACTAAAGTCCTAATCTGTCTCTCAGCTACACCATTTTGTTCGGGAGTATAAGGCATGGTATATTGATGGATAATTTCATTTTCGACGCAACGTTATTTGAAAATATCAGATGAATATTTCTACCCTCTATCGGTTCTAAGAACTTTGATTTTCAAGTCGGTTTGATTTTCTACCTCGACTTTATATTCTTTGAATTTTTCTAGGGCTTCTGATTTTGCATGAATAAAGTACACATGGCCATATCGCGAGTGGTCATCTATAAAAGAGATAAAATATCTTTTTCCATTTTTGGTGGTCACGTTCATAGGTCCACATAAGTTACTATGAATGATTTTCAATACGCTAGTAGCTCTTTTTGCCTTGGTGGTACTTTTCCTTGTAAGTTTTCCTTGCACACAAGACTTGCACACTTTCGATAAATCTTCCCTATAATTTTGAAGAATCATGTCCCTTTTTAATCTTTCCATTCGTTTGATAGTAATGTGTCCTAACCTCATAAGCCATAGGGTAGCATCTAATTCATTAGGGGATGAGACATAAGCAACGTTCTCTTTTATTTCAATAGTAAATAGCCCGTATACAAGTCGTCCAGTCATGATCATATCTTTCCCCTTTTTGACCACCACTTTCTCCACAATGAAAGTAGTTATGAATCCAACCATAGACATCTCAGGAACCGAAACCAAGCACTTCCTCATATCAGGAGCATAAAATGCTTGTTTTAAGATCAAGGTACTTCACTCTTCAATTTCAGCTCAAAATCTTCAACTCCAAGTACATCAGTATTTTGATTTCCTCCCATGTAAATATGCTGCTATCCTGGCTCCATGGAATGAAAGAACGAAAACCATCCTTGTTGTTTATGATATGGGCCTTTGCCCCCTAGTCAAGACACCAAGAAGCTCCCTTGTGGTCAGCCAGCATAGACTCAAAAACCACACATGCCAATTCCTTGTTGGTCCCTCCAAATTTGTTGAATCGATAACTATTAGCTATGTGACTCTCCTTCTTGCAAATAAAGCAAGTTCAAGTCTCTCTCATTGCTCCCTTATTCCAAAATCTCTCATTTTGAAATCTCTTTTTTTTCCAAAATTATTTCTTCCCTTTTCTTTTTTAAATTTAAAAGAAGGTGGAGATTTACCATATGCACGGCTTCCCTTGGAGATGTTGTCAGTAGTTATTTTGAACTTTTCCTCTCCTCTTCTACTTTGATTATACTGATGAGCTCCTCCAGTTTTTGTGCTTTTCTTCTAGCTGAGATGGAAGATATGAACGTCTCCCAAGAATTAGGAAGTGAATTCATAAGATGAATCACTTGCATAGATTCATTGGGTTGCATGCCTGTGTCTTCTAGCTCTCTGACTAGTGCGCAAAAGAAGTGCACATGATCTGCAAACTTGGTACCTTATGCCATCTTTAACTCATTATACCTCCTCATATCCATGGTTTGCTTCATAAGAGAGGGTTCAGCATACTCTCTCTCAAGTTTATCATAAATCTCACTTGCAGTATAGATTGACTCATACTCAGAAGCATATGAGTCAGTCATGGCAAACAAAAGAATGTATTTGCATCTCATATTCCTCCTCTTTCAATTGACTTATTCATCTTTAATTTCTTGAGATGAGTCATCAGTTGGACGACGATGTCGGTCCTCAAAGACTTCCTCATGCAAGTTTTCCTTATAGAGCACAAATTTCATTTTTCTTTTCCATGAAGCAAAGTTGGTCCCATCAAACTTTTCAGCTTTCAGAATCTCTGAGATGAAAGTACGAGCAGCCATACCTTTCTATTCTCAAGCAAAGAAAAATAAGAAAAGACTCATAATGGCAATCGAGTAAAATCAGCTCTAATATCAATGAAAGAAAGTCTGATGTCATATTTTCCTAAGGAATATAATTTATTTTTTTTTATCTTTAATGATAATAATCACCCTTTTTTATTTTGGCAAAAAGATCACTTACAGATGGTCTTATTACAATCAATAAATATTTCAAAAATAAAACACCACAACAATAAAATAAAACTCAACCACTTGATGCCATTTATACAACCTAATAATATGCTTGAGAATATAAAATCAAGGAGCAAGTAAGTAAAAGAGAAGATGCCGGAGATTACCTCAATCGGGCTTATTACACCCCATACCGAGTCACCACATCCAATGGTACGGGATCAGCGGTCTAGCTTCAATCTCGAACCGGGAAAGTTAATTTCGGCCAAACTAGGTAACCACCCTTAAATCTTTACAAAACCCTAACTCCAAAATAGTTAGGCTCAAACCCTAATTTTCCCAACCTTAGTATCTTTAGGTCAAGAGAGAGAGAAGGAGACTTAGGGTACGGGCGTGCCCCCTATGTGTCTTAAGAGAGAGAGAGGGTTAGAGAGAGAAAGCCTGAGAGGAGAGAGAGAGGCGTGGCCGCTAGGGAGGAGAGAGAGGTTATGGGAGAGAGAGGTGTGTAGAGATGGGGGGAGAGTACCCATATTTATAGTGAAATTTAGGTCTAAGGATTTTTTAGGGTTTCCCATAGTTTGCATCTTTCTTGAGATTGAATATAGACCGTTGATCAAGGTGACTTGTGGGGTGAGAGATCTGAGCCATTCATTCTATAGATGGGCCGGCAACATTATGAAACGTGCGTGAACCATTATCCCCCTTTCCTTAAACCAATTTTCCCATCAATACATTTAAATAAGTTAAATCTATTAAAATATCATGCATTCCATAAAATTGCATAATCCATCTCATATTTTCCATAAGAATATTTCAATACTATCAAGTCAAGATATTCCTTCAATAATCAAGATAAGATATGGTCAATATTTCCCAAATAATATTTGACCATATGCTTATAAGAAGGACTTTCCAAAAATTACAAAACTTGTTATCAAAGTAATAACAAATGAAGCAATGGGTGGGGCATACCACCAATATGTGGCATATGTGGGCTCCCACCTATTTTCCACATGGTGGGCCCATGTGCACTATGGGCCCCCATAAAATTTTATAAATATTTTAAAATTTTATTTAAATATTAGTTGAATTTTATATAATTTGTAAAATCAATAACTTCATTTTTATAATTTCAAAAATCATAAATAAAATATTGAAAGATTCATAAAAATTCAAATAATAAATCTAAAATAATTTCTATAATAAAATGAACACAATTAAATTAATATGATGAAAGTGAATCCATATGATTCAGGAATTCTATCAACGATCACGGGATACTCCACCTTCAACTGTGGACTACCGACCCAGTGTTTCTTATGACCCACAGTCTAAGCAAGGGCTCATTAGCATGTCACCAAAGTCTGATCGATGAGCCAAGGACTCGCAATCCCAGTTTGTGGATTACAGGTCCTCCCCTAGCGACAAGTCAAGATCACCACGACCGGATACGACCACAGCTCTATGACTCATAGGGGTATCTCTCGCACATGCATATGCTTCACCTAAAGGTGGATATCTGGCTTTCCCGAACGATCTATCTATATGCATGTCGTGTGATGGATCATGGATGAGGTTTTGGCCCCTATCTCTGTAGGCCTATCATTATACACAAGGGTCACACAATCCCTTGGCTCACTCATCTAGGCATAAGCTCCAACCTCATCAAGGGCTAACCCAAAAACCCTTCTCGATTTATTTTTTATGCCCAAGTACCTTGGGTTTTCCAATCGACTGGCCTAGATCGTCAAGCACAGTCCGGTATCAGCAAACATTATTTGCTTAGTATGATCCTCGAGGGATCTCACTCCCACTGAATGAACGTGGATTTAGAGAGAGAAAGAGCATTTTGTTTAGAGAGAGAAAGAATGAGAGTGGATTTAGAGAGACAAAGAGCACAACGTTTGTTTGTTTTTTTTTTTTTTTTTGAGTCAGAATTAAAGCTATTGACTACAGGGTAGCAGTCGAATTAGACATCCCCATGCACACACAAAAATAAATGAATCCCCTACGTAAGTAGTATAGATGAGAGTATAGATGACTTACTATCCTTGGAAATGAAAGCAACAGAAACATTAGTAAGTCTTCTCTAGGAAATTAGAACACCAGTAGTATAGAGAGATGAGTCATGGATGAATCCTAAGCCCTCTGGCCTTTGATCCTCCTTGCAAGCTAGATGTCCTTAGGCATGATGGTGACTCTCTTGGCGTGAATGGAACAGCGGTTAGTATCCTCAAAGAGACCCACCAAGTAAGCCTCAGCTGCTTCTTGCAAGGCCAACACAGCATGGCTCTGGAAATGCAAATCAGTCTTGAAGTCCCGAGCAATTTCATGAATAAGCCTTCGGAAGGGCAGCTTCCTAATCAGAAACTCTGCTTTTCTGATACTTGTGAATCTCTCGGAGAGCCATTGTTCCTGAGTGATATCTGTGAGGCTTCTTCACTCCTCCAGTTGTTGGGGCAGATTTACGAGTGGCAAGCTGAATCCTGGGAGCCTTTCCTCCAGTGGCCTTACGAGCAGTCTGCTTGGTACAAGCCATCTCTCCGGATTCTTTCGGAAACTGAACTAAAAAACGTAAGGGAGAATTAGACAGGACTTTCTTAGCATAGTTTTTTTTTTTTTCTTTCTTTCTAGCATTTTGCAGATGAGAGAGGGGAATGCGCTCACCTGCTCATGTCGTCCACTTTGATCGCCTCCCTCTCGGTCTTCTCCACTTTGATCCGCTCTCTCCTTACGTCTTGTCAAAGTCTCCCTCTTCTAATCTTTCTCCAACTTTCTCGGCCTATTATCTCCCTGGTTGTCTCTCTTCCCATCTCTCTGCCCCCCCCTCCTCTCTCTCTATCTCTCTCTCTCTCTCTCTAGAATCCGATACTGCAAATTCCCACGAGCTTCAGTCTGTATGTCTTACTGGTGTCCCCACAAAACAAATTCATAAATTAAACAAAAAAAAAGTTATAATTCAAATAGAAATACTTCGTATTAATACCGATCAAGTGGTTTTTGAAAAACCGAAAATGAGTAGTTTTGTTTTTTTTAAAAAAAATTGTTATGAATTTCAGAAACCAGATATACGTGAAATAATGGAAAGTATTAGATAATTTAGTAATATAGGAAAATAAATTGGATATTTAAGTAATTTTCCCTTTCTTTTTTATTTTTATTGTTCCTGTTTTATTTTCTATCTGCATCACATTGCCACCCCTATCAACCATGGAGTTTAATATGGAAGGTAGATGCCAAAATCATTTTACGGTATTCCTTACACCGATGTAAAATATTTTTCATTTCGGGCACATTTGGTTGGTGCATAAATTTTTCCCCAAAAAAACATTTTCTCCATGTTTTTTATCACGTTTGAAAAGCATTGTGTAATAAATTTAATATGTTTAGTTACTTAGTTGGTAATTGATTTAAGAGAAAATTACATATATATCCGTTATACTTTACGTTATTACGGTTACACCTAATAGTTTCCGTTATTACTCATCTGTCCATTTTTTATCTTTCATAACACCTTTTTTTTAAAAAAAACACTTTTACCCTTTTTCGAATGTTGAACATCCGAAAATTTAGGATTTCCGGATGTTGAACATCCGAAAAGAGCGGGATAGTGAGTAAACTTCGTCCGCCCTATTTTTTGCATTTTTTTCATTCTTTCACTGTGCATCTGCGCTTTTCTCATTCTTTGAGAGTGTGATTGATATTGTCTGCCTTATTGGTAAAGAATAGTAGTTAGTTTTTTTATTTTGATTTTCAATAGTATTCGTCTTTGGTAGGCGGCATATTTTGGATTTTGAAGCAATTTCACATTGTGAAGGTATGTGGGTTGATTTTTTATTTAGATTGCCACCTGAATTTTGGTTAGGGTTTATACTCAAGCATACTAATTATTTGTTATGATTTTGGTATAGATTGAATTAATTTTTGGCTCCATTGTGATTGAATTAGATATTTATAATTTGTGGGTTTTGAGAACTTGGAATTTTGTAGTCTCTGTATAACTATAAATTACTTAAATTTGGGGGTTTGTACTCTTATATAGTCTTAAGCACAAATTTGTGTTACATTTATTGATATTTTAGTAAATTGTTGATTTTTATTTTTGATAGATTGAGTCGCTTGAAAAATAAAATATGTATGTGATTTATGATTCAAGTACATATTTACTTTGAATATTTTGCAAAGTATTTAATGAGTGGATTTATTTGAATTATGATTTATGATTTATGATTCAAGTAACAATAACTACATTTATTTGAATATTTTGGATTTAATATGTTGCTTGTGTTACAAGTAGCATTGTTCTCTGGTATTTGTTTGAAATTGTTGCTTGACATAGAATTGAATTCTTTCTTTTTTGATGGAGCCGTTCGTCTATCTATAAATTGATTTCTTCAGGCTTTGATTGAACTGCGTGGTTTTTTAATAGATTGGTTACTGAGCTAACATGAATTCTTTGTTTTTTATGGGATGATTTAGCTGCTTATAAAAGTTGAATTCTTGTCTTTACAATGAAATGATTTGTTGCTTATCAATGTCGAATTCCGTTGAAATAATTTTGTTACTCATTAAAGTTGAATTCTTTAGTTTTTTATCGCGAATGGTTACTTGGAAGGGGACTACTGTGGTTTTTTTTTGTTTATCCATCTAGGGTTTGGTTATTGTTTAGCTGAGGTCAATTGAATTGGACTTAGTGTAGTATTTCACATGGCTTTGAAATTGTTACTGATAAAAGAAGTGGATGAGGATTGTGCATATCTGGTTAATTAAGGGGTCTGTATAGTAGTTCTTCAAGTAGAGATATTAAATTGGATTTAAGAGTTGGATAGGGGACTGTTTTTTCACTGTAGCTAATTATGGAAGTTGTTTAGTAGTTTTTGAATAACTCTTTGAAATTGACTCAAAGAATCAATTCTTTATTTGGCCACCATATTTACTTATTGGTTTTGATTTTCAAGTATACGATCCTTAGTTGGACTAGCATAGCAATTTCATTTTAGCATTGTTCTTCTTTCATCAATGGATTGTCGCAATGTTCTTCTTCATCAATAGTGTGTCAATATTGTTTTTTTGTTATCCAGTTAATTTCTACATGTGTAGCATTATGATTAACATGGTGACCATATGGAATTTCAGTGAACATGGATCGTTTACATCCCGATGGAGGATATCCAAGAGGTCCTCAGGACCCTAGTTTATTGCAATTTCATCCAGAATATTGCTCATATTTCATATGGAAAGGACAAGTATATGCATATATTCATCTGCACATTCTATTTATTTGTTAATTTTCAATAAATGGTAGTCTGGTTCAAACATCCTATGGAAAGTTCATGTATATATATTGATTCTAATATGTTGTCTATTTGTTGTATTTCAGGAGAAAGAAGAAATTAAAATTGATGAGAAGAGTTATCAATTAAATGAATGGAAATTAACAAGAGAACAAGTTCAGTTAGTTCATGCTTCTAGGTTGGGTCCGTTGGCTATCATTCGGCCACGCCGAATTGATCATCCTTTGGTCGCAGCTAATATAGAGGTGGCGTTCTGAGACCAATACATTGCATTTCAACATTCATATTGGTGAGATGACACCAACACTTTTTCATGTATACGATATATTAGGACTGGCTGTGGATGGCGACCCAATCACATGTCATCCTATCAAGGACCTGCAAAAGTTTATTGAAGATAATTTGGGTATAGTCCTTGATGGCAACTTGGCAAGCCTGAGACATACATGGATGAAGGCGAATTTTAGGAAATTGCCACCAGATGCAACCCCAGCTCAAGTTTATAGATATACTCGAGCATATCTGCTCTTCCTCATCAGTGTAACCATATTCGCTGATGCATTAGTTTCAACAGTGCCAACAAGGTACCTGCAGTTTTTCGAAGATATTGAGGGTACCAGTACATATGCTTGGGGTACGGTAGCCCTTGCATTCCTCTATCGCTCACTTGGAAAAGCATGCACTTTCAAGCGAAAGACATTTTAGTGGTTCAGCCACTCTCATGCAGGTAACCATTTGTTTTTGTGTATGACATAAGCATAATAGTTTAGACTGCTTTCTTAATATATTTAATATTTATCATACTCAAGTTATTGCAGTACTGGTCATAAGAGCATATTATCATATGAGGCCCATACCGCATAGTATCCCTCCAAATATGCCTAGGGCCAAAAGATGGGAGCCACCGAAGAAATATCATGGCAATCCACATAACTTAATGCCTCTCATCAGACAAGAAATTGATAACCTCAAACCTAATGAGGTTAGTGTATAATTTGATATTGATTTCTTTTAATAGTATTTAAGTATTTGTAATTATTTTTATTAACTGATTGCATATCATAAAATAGGTGATCTGGAATCCCTATTTCAACTCTGATGCGGTTATTTCAGATGATAGGCAGCACGCATTTTAAACTGCAATGTGCCCTACAACTTTGATATTTGACGATATTGCCGAGCCGTACATGCCAGACCGAGTATGCCGGCAATTTGGAGCAAAACATGACATTCTTAGGAATCCCTTGGTTGTTAAGAGGGCAAGGAGATAAGTTCGACAGCAAGACTGGTGAAACGTCAATGCAGATAAAATCGCTAACTGGTTGTTCTTGGAAATATGGCCTATCAAAGCCTAAATTTCAGTAGTCTCTCATTCAGTGGGAGCGATTGAGAGATTGAAATCTTGGCATCTTACGAAATGGAGCTCAGATTCTTTTACCCCGAGTACGCATGAGGCATCGAGAGTTCACGTGTTGAGAAAACAATTTCTCAATGAGGTGTTAGAGTCACCTCCTAGTCAGGATTTTATAGGTTAACCTCATGTTTAGCTGCAATTGGTCAGGGCTTGGAGAATCCAAATGAGAAAAATAGAACCCGAGTACTAACGGAGTATTCGCCCTGTATGAAATGGTCAAGACTTATGGAATATAAGTCTGTATCTTGACACGAGACCATTGCATGACATGTGCACATTTCATACGGGAAGCCACTCTTCCAAATACATTATCCGAGTTTGGAAGAGCCAGTATACATATGCTTTGAGAGGACCCCTATAATTGAGTTGGATCATGTCCCACAGGGGTATACTTGTAATCCATTGAGAGCCGAATGATCGGAAGTTCTGGCTCAGCGGCTTTGATATGACTAATTATGTGTCTCTGCTTTAGACTGTGGAACACAGGTGTATTGAGTCGATCTAAGACTTAACAGAACATCATTCGAGACTAGCCCAATGGATTACTCCGATACCTATAGTTATTAGCCTGAGATCTCACTATACATTTTGTCCGATTTTATAACGATGAGAAAAACCTAATAATTTATTTGATAAAAAAATGACGGTTTTCATATTGTTTGGCTCAAAAATTACGATTTTCATATTGTTAGTCCTGACCTGGTAGTGTCATGTGGCGTCCGAGTGGCTATAGGCCTGCCACATGGCACTCCACACCTCACTCTAGGATCACCGCCCATATGGGCATTGATCCCTAAGTGGGGGACTAGATTGGCATTTGGTTGCTTGTTT